AATGTACTGTATACCTAAAATGTACCAATAAAAGAACTTAAAATAAAAAAGAGAAATAAATAATAAATAAATAAATAAATACAAGAGACTATGTCTTGATAGGGCTTCATTTATTGTCCACACTCTCCAGCCTGTACGAACTCCATTTCTACTCCCAGAGTTGGCCTAGATTCTGACCTGACCTATGAATTCTACATCACTCTGGCTTCTGTTAGTCTAGTTTATAATTAATTTACGATTCCTTGTTTTACATCAGCTCCAATTTGTATGGGCAAAAACATTTATTACTGATTCATTGCCAGCTTAGATAAGGGACTCTTTGCTTTTCCTGAGCAATGTATCTAGAATAGCCCAGGCCTTCAAGTTAGACAGATCTGAGATAGGATCCCATCCTGCCAATTTTCCAACTAATCAGTTTGATTTTAGTTATTATCTAACTACCCTGAGCCTCAATTATCCCATTTGTCAAATGCAGGCAATGAGGTCATTATGAGGATGAGTTGAGGCTTCATTCACAAAGAGCATAACATGTGGCAAAGTGGCTATTTTTCATTCCCTTTTCTTTCTAACCTACCCAGTAGGAGAAAAGTGAGGAGAGAAGATGTGATTTTATAGATGTCTAAAGTTCTGTTTATTTTCTAAGCAAGAAGAGAAATGGGATTCTCTGGGTTTATGAGGCATCTAATAACTAAAGTACCTGCCAACAGATAAGTTTTCTAATGGCTCAATCCCAGGATTAAGAACCTTAAAAAAAGCAGTGGTATCTGCAGTATCAGTGGCATTATTTAATACTATTGGAACTTTTCATCTTAGTAGTGTTTTTTTCGCAGTAGCCCTTTTCTTTTTTCACTTGGCAAACTGTCATGGCCTAATTTTTAGAAAAGGACTTGGATGAAATGAGGAAAACCCTGAATATTAATTAGTACCCAAGTTTATAAATAGTAAGCAGAATTAAAACTGCCTAATAAAATTAATTCATTAGAAAACCTCTTTCATAAGAGCAAAAAGAGAAACAACAATGAGGTTTGGCATAATGTGCCTCTAAAGAAGTAATTTTTAGCTGAGCACCATGATGTGAGCTTATAGTGCCAGCTACTTGGGAGGCTGAGGCAGAAGTATCACTTGGGTCTCGGAGCTCGGGACCAGCCTGGGCAACATAGTGAGACCATGCCTCTTAAAAAGGGAACCAGAGAAAAAAAAATTTTAATTAAAAAAAAAAAAGGGAAGCAGAGGGGAGCCATGCATGGTGACATGCACCTTAATCTCAGCACTTGGAAGGCTGATGCAAGAGGATTACCATAAGTTCAGGCCCAGCCTCAGCTACATAGTGAGTTCAAGGCCAGCCTGAACCACATGGTGAGAGCCTATCTCAAAAAAACATACAAAAAAAGGGGAGTGAGGGAGGTAAACTTTTGGAGTTGTTACACAATGAGGATGATAGCTGCAGAATCACAAATAACTAATCAGAATAAATCTAATTAAGATATGCAAAATAAAAAACAAGAAGTGAAGAAAAACCTAGGGCTGGGGATATAGCTTGGTCATAGAGCACTTGTTTAGCATGTGTGAGGCTCTGGGTTCAATTCCCAGTACTGGGAGAAAGAAAGAAAAAAAAGAAAGGAAAGAAAGAAAGAAAGAAAGAAAGAAAGAAAGAAAGAAAGAAAGAAAGAAAGAAAGAGAAAGAAGGAGAAAAAGAAGGAAAGAAGACATACTTAGGCAAAGAATTAGTAATAAATAATAAAAATAATCAATGGGCTATTATTAAAGGAAATAAGTAGCACACATAAGAGTACCAAGTCAGGAAAAACAATGATTTAGAAGCAACGGAGGCAATACCATGATATATAGAGAAATACCCTGGATGACAGACACAAGGAGAAAGCAGAGGGGCATGTGATATAAAACAGGTACCTGTCACTTGTGATCAGACTGGATAGCCTGATATCTCTGAGTCTTTTACGCAGAGATCTTATTCCAGGCAGAGGATCTAGGAGTCACTGGGCTAAGTTTGTTAACATCCTCATACCCATCCAGATCCTTCCAGTGTCTGAGACTTGGAATAATTAGGCCAATATGCACCTCCTCCCTTCAACAGAAATCCTAACCCCTATTCCTGAGACATAACAAACAGCTAAGTAAAAAATATGGAACTTTAGCCAGCTCCCAATAAAGCAGAGTCAAGAAATTTTGCAAAATATATGTTTACTTATGATTGCCTCATAGAGGGTCATGGACTTTGGTTTGTCTCAAGCTTTCATTCCACCTGAACTGATTTTAATCCACAGTAGAATTGTCTCTGAAGCTGGCCTAACTTCCCAGAATGCCATGGAGTTAAGGAAGGAGTTAAAAATGGCATGTTCCAGATTGATAGCAGAGTCCACAGGCTGTCCAATCTGTGATTGTGCCATTAGGACTGGCCTAATACCAAATCTTGTGTTTGGGAACCACTCACTAAAGTATTTGGCTATGCCATGGTACTGGAGACCAAAGGCAGGGGAGATTATATCAGTTACAAATGAAGTTTACTTTTCTATATATTCTGGAGCTTGTTTACTCTGAAATCTTGCCTCTTTATTAAGCAATATTGCTGGCAGGGTAGTGGTTGGGATGTGGAGATTGTAGGAAACAGGAGCACAGTAGTAGACAGTTGAGAAAGGAGATGCTATACTCAGTGAATTGCTTGCTCTTAACCTCTTTTCACCAAACACACCTTCTCTGCACTTAAGCAAAATGAAGCTCTACCTCCTTCATGCAACCTCCCCCTTCATGGCAACCCATTCTTCAATTTTATCATTCATTTATTCATTCAAATGATGATTGAGTGCCCACTGTGCACTGTGTTATGATTTTCTTCCATAGACGCTCATGGTACTTTCTCCTTGTCATACTTGGTTACTTCAGACAATCAATCATTCAATATTCTTTTGTAGATATCTAACTGTGGCAGTTACTGTGTTCCCACTATGCAGTTCATAAAATTCCTCCTGGAGATTATAAAGACCCTTGTCCTGAGCGCCACAAGATAGAGCAGAAGTTAGTAAGAGAAAGAGGGCTTCTCAGGCTTCTGGAAGAAAACTGAAGCTCAGCAGAAAAGTAAAGAGAACCTCTACAATAAAGGCACATCAGACCACTGTACTTGGTCTGCTGCTGGCTTGCTGAAACTCATTGACTTGTGTATGCACAGAGATTCCTACGTTGCCTACTGTGACAACAGAGACATACCCTGAAGGAGGCCCATAATTTCTACTGCTTTGCAAAAAAGAAAAAATTTTTTTTCTTATTTTTAATTCTTAACTTTTACTTTTTTTCTACTCTTCAAAGTTTTTCTTTTCTTTCTTTCATCTTTTCTTTCTCTCTCTCTCTCATTCTCTCACTGTCCCATATTGCACCTCATCTCTCCATTTGTTCCTTTCTGCACTGAATTCGGATTTCTCCCTTACTGTTCTTTTCTTCTCTTTTTCCTTCTCTTGATCATCATTAGGTTTAAAGGAAAGTAAATTTGGTATCTAGCCTCCCTGTTGCTGTTAGGTGGTTCTATTCACACCTTTGTTCTTTCATTCTGCCATTTTCTCTTGCCTTTAACAACTTCTTAGAGTTTGTGAGATCTTTCTGTGTCTTCGGGCCTCACTGCTAATCTTACCTGTTCTTTCTACCTGTCCCTCCCTCCCCAACTCCATTTAGCTCCCCACCTGGAAGGGGAAAGATGCTATATTGAAGAGTTTATTCATTAAAAACTTACCTTGGGTTGGTCCTTGGTTTTAATTTAACTCACATAATTAAAAGTGATAGATTAATGACGACCACAAAGTGTCATTTTCTAAGCTGTGCTTGATGCTATGGTATTGCTGACTATATCCTTTGGGCTAACATGTTGTGATTGATCTAATTAGTTTTCCTTCCTGGTATAAGAAAAATATAATAGCTTCAGAGTCATTAGAGTCTCAAAACCCAAACACAAGCTATATCTGGAAGACTCCTCTGAAAA